GAGTCGCCGCTCCAGGCTGATAAATGCGGTATACAAATGGAGTAAATAAATAAATAAATAAATAAATAAAAGCGCAGTTTGATGAACTCCGTGGGGGAGGACTGGCTGGCGGGCCGCGCACGGCTCGTGCTATCGTCCCTGAGCGCTTTATCGGAGATAAAGATGGTTTGCCACTGTTTTTGATGCAGACCGAAGTTTATTTTAAGCAAGTGCCTGCAACTGCTTATGCTACAGATGAAAGCAAAGTGGCTTTTGTGATCAGTTTGCTGTCTGGCCGAGCGGGTAAGTGGGCAGTAAATCTGGTTAATAGCAATAGCCCCTTACTGCGCAATTATGCTGGCTTTTTGGACGCTCTTAAGGAGATGTTTGGAGACCCTCTCCAGGAAGAGAATGCCAGCCGTGAGTTACATGCTATCCGGCAAGGGAAAGAATGTGTGTTGGACTATTTGAATCGTTTCAACCATCTGAAACAGCACTTGGACTGGGGCGAGAAAGCTTTTATGACTTGCTTCACAGCAGGGCTTGCTCCAGCTTTAAAAATCGAATTGGCACGCTTTGAACCTCCTGACACCTGGGAGGCTTTGACTAAAACGGCTCTTCGACTGGAGAGGAGACAGAACATGCTGAGGAAGGAGGGCTATTTCCAGCCGCAGTTCCAGTCTACCCCCTCCCCTCAAGTCACCGCCGCTGCTGTCTGTTCCAGTCTGGATTCCGAGGAGCCCATGCAGCTGGGGAGTCAACGCCGGTTATCCAGGGAGGAGAAGCAGAGACGGCGTCAGCTCAATTTATGTTTGTATTGCGGAGCGGGGGGCCATTTCGCCCGCAGTTGTCCGGCCAAGGCTCCCAGGGAGCAGGGAAAAGGCCAGCCCTAATGTGCACTGGGGCAAGCACATTAGGGCCAGCGGTTCAGTGGCCCCGGTGTAAAGACCATGTGTTTTTACCCATTGAACTCTGTTCTAACCAAGGCAATAGGTTCTCCACTTGGGCCCTAGTGGACTCTGGGGCAACCGGGTCTTATATGGACACAAGCTTCGCTATGGACCATCATATTGTGTTACAAAGGAAGCGCCAGCCAGAGTGGGTGGAAGGAGCAGATGGTGCTCTAGTGGGCCACCGGTCTGTTACTATGGAGACTGGGCCCCTGAGGTGGGAGGCTCAAGGTATAGAGGGTCGGTTTTCCTGGGATGTGATTAACTTGCCTAGGTATACCATCATCCTAGGCATGGACTGGCTGTCCAAGATTAATCCCAGAATAGACTGGCAAGCCAAGACCATTACCTTAGCACCACCTGTATGTGGAACGTTGGCAGTAAGTCCAACGGATGTGGAAGGTGTTCCTGAATGCTATAAAGACTTTTATGATGTGTTTAGCAAGGTACAGGCTGACAATCTTCCACCCCATAGGCCTTATGACTGCCAGATAAAGTTGATGGAGGACGCCAAGTTGCCTGCGGGCAGGCTTTACGCTTTGTCTCTTCCAGAACGCCAGGCCTTGAAGGACTACATTGAGGAGAATCTGGCCAAAGGGTTCATCCGTCCGTCCAGTTCTCCCACGGCGGCTCCAGTGTTCTTCGTGTCCAAGAAGACGGGTGATTTACGTTTAGTTTGTGATTATCGTATTTTGAATAAGTTTACCATCCGGGACCGTTATCCGTTGCCTTTGATTCCTGAGTTATTGTCTCGTGTTCAGGGCGCATCTGTTTTTTCGAAGTTGGATTTAAGGGGCGCCTATAATTTGCTCCGGATTAAGGAAGGCTACGAGTGGAAGACCGCCTTCAACACTTATCTCGGGGCTTACGAATATTTAATCATGCCTTTCGGATTATGTAATTCGCCAGCTGTGTTTCAACGCTTAATGAACGATGTGTTTAGAGATTTATTAGATAAATTCATGGTTTGTTATCTCGATGACATCTTGATCTACTCAAAGGACCTTCGGCAGCATCGAGAACATGTGAGGACGGTGCTGCAGAGGCTTCGGAAACACGGTCTGTTCGCCAAGGCTTCTAAGTGTGTTTTTCATGTCCCGGAGGTGGAGTTTCTGGGACACATAGTCTCTGGGCGGGAGGTGAAAATGGACCCGCATAAGGTGGACGCTGTCCAGTCCTGGAAGGAACTCGCCTCAAAGAAAGATGTGCAACGTTTCCTAGGTTTTGCTAATTATTATCGAGACTTTATTCCCCATTATGCAGAAATCACCGTGCCGCTGACTCGCCTCCTGAAAAAGGACCACCCATTCGTATGGACTAAGGAGGCTCAGAGAGCATTCGAGACCATCAAATGCAGTTTCGCTGATGGGAGAGTCCTGTGTCAACCAGATGTGGACCGTCCTTTTGTGGTTGAAGCTGATGCCTCCAACTACGTGTTGGGAGCTGTCCTGTCCCAGTTAGACTCCAAGGGTATCCTTCGGCCTTGTGGCTTTTACTCTCGCCAATTGTCTCCCTGTGAACAGAACTATACAATTTGGGAGAAGGAGTTACTGGCGATTAAGGTTGCCTTCGAGGTTTGGAGGCACTGGCTCGAAGGTGCCAGGCACCAGGTGGTGGTGCGGTCTGATCACCGTAACCTAGAACATTTGCTAACCGCTCGCAAATTGAACCAGCGCCAAATTCGTTGGGCTATTTTTTTTAGTCGTTTTGATTTTCGTGTTGAGTTCATTGAGGGGAAAATGAACTTGAGGGCGGATGCTTTGTCTCGGAAATCTGAATATAAGACTGATGTGGCACCCGTCCTGCAGACTGTGTTACCTACAGCGGCTCTCAATTTAATGGAGGGTGCGGGTGATCTTTGTGACCAGGTCAAAGCAGCGCAAGCTGAGGACATTTGGACTCAAGAACAGCTCACCTTGTTAGCAAATGGCCAGAAGTCTGTACTCCCTAATCTTCGCAATGAGGGTGGGATTTTGTTGCGCAGAGAGCAGCTCTACGTTCCTGCAGGTAGTTTACGCCTTGAGATTCTTAGATCCCACCATGATGAACCGGCTGCAGGTCATTTTGGGAGGTTTAAGACCGTGCAACTAATCACTAGAAATTTTTGGTGGCCAAAAATGAGGCAGGACATTTTACAGTACTGTGACAGTTGTGCCGTCTGCCAGCAATGTAAACATGCTCCTGGAAGGCCTAGTGGCCTGTTATCCCCTTTGCCGGTGCCTGAGAGACCTTGGCAGGTCATTTCTATGGACTTCATTACTGATCTCCCCAGGGCACGGGGATACGCCTGTATTTGGGTAGTAGTGGACTTGTTTTCTAAAATGGCTCATTTTGTTCCGTGTGCGAAAGTTCGCACAGCACCTGGGTTGGCCCAGCTCTTTATGAAGCATGTGTTTAAGTTACATGGGGCTCCGGACACTATAATTTCAGATCGCGCCCCTCAGTTCGTGTCGCGATTCTGGAAGCAGTTCCAGGCCCAGATGGGCACGAAGCTCAATATCTCTTCTGCTTTTCATCCGCAGACTGATGGCCAGACGGAACGTGTGAATGGCCTTTTGGAACAGTATTTGCGTTGTTTTTGTTTACAGCAAGCTGGGGATTGGGTGCAGTGGCTTCCTGTGGCTGAATTCGCCTACAACAATGCTACCCATGCCGTCAGTCGCCATTCCCCTTTTGAGTTGGTTTATGGTATGCAGCCTAGGTGGGGGTCGGCTCCGGTGCATGACATTGTTTCCACGGACCCTGTGTACCGTTCTAACGAATTTCTTGCTTTGCATGATGTTGCCCGGCGTATTCTTGTGGAAGCTAAGGATGCTCAGAAAGCACAAGCTGATAAACATCGGCAGGCGGGTGCTGAGCTCCAGGAGGGGGATTTGGTTTGGCTCTCTTCCAAGCATCTCAAGCCGTCTGGGGGCAAGTTTGCGCCTCGTTATGTGGGACCCTACCCTATTGTCAAGCAGATTTTGCCTGTGGCTTTCCGTTTGCGTTTACCTCCTTCTTTGAAAGTGCATCCTGTGTTCCATCGCTCTATGCTCAAGTACACCAAGCCGATGTGTTTGGTAATAGGTTCTACTTTGTGTACACTCCGTTCATCATACAGAATGGACTTCTGCTTTTTCTCTGTTGCCAGTACCACACCATTTGCAGCTGTATAAAGTAAGCAAAGATTTTACAGAATGTGGCCAAAAATATAATTCTTATCTTTCCCTTATGTTTATTCAAAGCTTTGCTGCTTACAGAAGACACAGAAAAAATATTTCCTTGATTATCATGCCATACTGATCTTGTGTAGTACTCCATTTTTTCTGTACAATCTACTGCAGGTTTTCCCACAGGTGTAATTATAACCCTATCATAATTGAAAGGAAGCAAAAGCCAGCAGTGAATGGGATGAATATATTTCTACCTGCAGCACTGGCTCCTGAAATTTCAGGGTACTGGGCAGCAGCACCAACAGACCCAGGTCCCTTCTACTCTACCATATAAAATCCAGATTATCTGCTTTGAACTGCATTATATGGCAGTGTAGACTCATATAATCCAGTTCAAAGCAGATAATCTGGATTATATGGCAGTGTAGAAGGGGTCCCAATGACTTAAGCAGCCCCTGCAGGAGCAGCTATAGAGGATCTTGCATTCTCTCTGAGGCTTGCGCTTCTTCTCCTTGTGTTCTCTTTCTGGGTCTGTGGCTTCTCTTTCGATGTAGTATATATTTCTCTCGTATAAGACTCACATATAGGTTTTTTTTAAAAAATAACTGCACTTCCATGCTCTCACACACATTGCTCCCTGATGCCTGAAGTCAAACTGACCATTCACCCTTGCTCCGTTTCTCTCAGACTACCTTGGTCTGCTACATTTTTAAAGCGTTCAGAGTTCGAGCAAAGCATCCATTAGCATAATACCGTGCTTATTTGACAGGTTAGGAACCAGAGCACTGTCAGACAAACCTATATAGCAGATTTAAAAACCTTTGTCAAGTATAAAATACCTCTGAACAACCAGTAAGCTGACTCTTTCCCCTGCTTCTTTGTTATGAATTCCCAATGCAAGGATATGTGGTAACATAAGTTAATAATATTTTATGGGTTTACTATATACTGTAATAGATATATATTACCTTTAATTCCAACAGAAGGGGCTCCTGCTGCTACAGCTGCCAAAGCATATTCAATCTGAACAAGCTTCCCAGAAGGGCTAAAAGAAAGCACACAATGTATTTGTGAGACAACTTAGTGACAATTATTTTCAAGAAAAAAGCTCAGCCCGTTACTTACTTGTTTTCAACAACTGAACAATAAATATATTATAGAGAATATAATAATATGCACAAAAATTGAGTATTTAAAACTCATTTTCTTCAAAATACTTGTTCTATGGATACAATCATACAGACACTTTCTTGGGAGGAATTTACACTGACATGAACTTTAAAGTAAACATGCTTAGGTTTCCACTGCACATTTATACTGCATGAGTTCATGTCAAAGCCAAGCAACAAATTCTCAGTAACCCCCACAAAATCCTCTATTACAAATGAAACACTTTTATTTTATTTTTGTAGGGCTCCTTCATAATCCTTTGGACAAGTAAAGCTATAGCTCTTACTAGGCAGTTAAGGGTCTTTCCAAACAGCCAAGACTTCTGGAAGGCGTCAGGTTAGAGAGTGCTGTTTTCTTCAAATTTTATTTGAGTATCAAGACAGAAAATCCCACAACATCTGCTTTGACCTGAGTTATCCGAGTCCACACTGCCATATATTCCAAAGCAGAAAATGTGGGATTTTATTCAGCTGTGTGGAAGGGGCCTAAATTTCTCTGAACGGAATGTGAGTACATTTAAAGAACTATCTATACAATGCCGCTGTAGGTATGGAAGATAATGAAGATTAACACCACTAGACATTTTTCAAGACATCCACAAGATGCCAACATTTTTTCCTCATAAAATTCTCACATACACGGGAAATGAAGGCAAACTTATCAGCTTATGGTTCTTAACCTGTGGGCTGTGAGGACAAAAATCTGGTCTGCCAGCCTCCGTCCTCTTTATTTATTTTATTTCTGCTCCTTTCATGCCGCCTGCCACTTCTTCCCGGTCGCTATGGGATTTTCAGCCTTGATATTGCATTGCCAGAAAATTACATTGGATAGGCCACATCAGCTCTAGATTATTAAATATGGTTTTTCTGTGGGCAAGCACATGGCGACTACTGGATGGCACATGTTCAGTATCAGAAACTTGGGCTGATGTGGTCTATCCAATGCAATTTTCTGAATCAGCGCCCCAAATAACCAAAACTAATTAAAGTTGACCAAAAACTGATTTTTAACCCTTTTAATAATAATAATAATAATAATAATAATAATAATACTTTATTTATACCCCGCCACCATCTCCCCAAGGGGACTCGGGGCAGCTTACACGAGGCTTTTTGGTATTAATGTTGGAGAGTGGTCCCTGGTCAAAAAAGGTTGGGAATCACTGGTCTATAATAATACATTGAAAAGCTCTGGTGAGTTTCTCGTTGTGTGCTTTTAAATCATTTCAGACTTATGACAAGCTGAGGATGAACCTATTTATCTACTCACTGAACTTTCGTAGTAGTAAAATTTATTTAGAGGTTTTGTCTTTGCTTCCTTTGAGGCTGAGAGAGTGCATATTGTTCAGGGCCCTTCCACACAGTCATATAATTCAGAATATCAAGGCAGAAAATCCCACAATATCTGCTCTGAACTAGGTTATCTGAGTCCACGCTGCCATATATCCCAGTTCAAAGCAAAAAAATGTGGGATTATCTGGGTTATCTGGAAGGGGCCTCAGATAACCCAGTTCAATGCAGATTGTTTGTTTTATTCTGTTATTTTATGTATTTTGTTTGATGTAATTTTTCTGTTGTTTTGTGTCTAACTTTGCTGTATTATTTTTGGGCATGGCCTGATGTTAGCTGCCCCAAGTCCCCTTTGGGGAGATGTTGGCGGGGTATGAATAAAGTTTATTATTTATTTGTTTGTTGTGGATTATCTGCCTTGATATTCTGGGTTATATGGCTATATAGAAAGGTCCTCACTTTCCAATAAATACGGATCAATTCCTTTATTATGTCCCCATAAACATCAGTCTGTAAAGCAGTGGTTCTCAACCTGGGGGTCGGGACCCCTGAGGGGGTCACGAGGGGGTTTCAGAGGGGTCACCAAAGACCATCCAAAAATGTATTTTCTGTTGGTCATAGGGGTTCCATGTGAGAAGTTTGGCCCAGTTCTATCATTGGTAGGGATCAGAATGATCTTTTATTGTTGATGAACTATAAATCCCAGCAACTAAAACTCTCTAATGCCAAGGTCTATTTTCCCCAAACTCCACCAGTGTTCATTCACACTGGGCATGTTGAGTATTCATGGCAAGTTTGGTCCAGATCCATCATTGTTTGCGTCCACAGTGCTCTCTGGATCTAGGTGAACTACAACTCCAAAACTCAAGGTCAATGCCCACCAAACCCTTTCAGTATTTTCTGTTGGTCACGGGGGTTCTGTGTGGCAAGATTGATTCCATTGTTGGAGTTCATAATGCTCTTTGATTGTAGCTAAACTATAAATCCCAGCAACTACAACTCCCAAATGACATCATCAATCCCCTGCCAACCCCACCAGTATTCAAATTGGGGCATATCACGTATTTGTGCCAAATTTGGTCCAGTGAATGAAAATATATCCTGCATATCAGATATTTATATTATAATTAATAACAGTAGCAAAATGGTAGTTGTGAAGTAGCAACAAAAATAATATTATTATTGGGGGTCACCACAACATGAGGAAGCGTATTAAGGGGTCGTGGCATTAGGAAGGTTGAGAACCACTGCTGTAAAGTAATGATGAAATGGCAAGCTCTAGTGTTGTTTTGGTTTCGGTTTACCGAGGATGGAAGCAAGACCGAGCGGTGGAGAGGGGTTTTTCCAAAGGCCAAAGAAAGGAAAGCCCGTGGATCTCAGACTGGACCCAACCCGGTCTCTCCAAGGCCTACATGAGGAGGAAGCCTACATGAGAAGGCCTACTGAGGAAGATCCGGCTCCCTAGGCAGAGCGCGCAGCCACGGTGACTCCACAAAATCCCTGCTCGGCCTCCTCCTCTCCTCGCTCAGTGGACGCAGCAACTCCCGCCAACGCCAAAGGCCGGCCTGACGCCCCTTGAGTCTCCCGCCCATTCCTCCGGCCGCCAGCCGTGCTCCTTCTCAAAGAGCATCTCTTACCTGAAAGTGGTGAGAGAGAAACTGTATCCGCGCTCCGCCATCTTGCTCTGCTCTCCCTCCTCGCTTCTGCGGCTGCGCGAGCTGCCAACGCCAACTCCCCCACCAAACAGAAAGGAAGAGTTGGGCCGCCGGGACTTGTAGTCCGCTCCTCATTTGAGTGGCTAAGCGGAGGGCCAGGAAGTGACTCGGTTTCCCAGAAGTCTCCGCGGCTCTCTCGATTCAGGCTTTGGATGAGCGGTGAAAAAGATGGCGGCGCTGCTGGTGTTCCCTGCCCCGCTCCCTCTCCTCCGCCGCCTTCTTCGCAGCTGCTGGGCTTCGCTGGGCGGCCACAGTCCTCCTTGGGGTGAGGCGCCTTCCGTGGAGGGGTCTGGGCGAGGGTTGGGCCCCATTTCCTTATTGAAAGGGGCGGCTCGCATCTGAAGGCCAAACGCGCCTCTTTTCCATGCCTGGTGGGCGGGCAGTGAGAGGCCAGGGCAAGCCCCTATTTTGCAGTTGTGGGGTCTCCTTAAAAAAGAAAAAATGCTTTACTAATGTGAGTCATACTTTTATTTTTAAAAAGAAGGGCCTTGTATTGTCGAAGGCTTTCATGGTGTAAACCAGATCAACAATTGGGTCATACCGTTTACAGAAATAATAATAATAATAATAAACTTTATTTATTACCCCGCCAACATCTCCCCAATGGGGACTCAGAGTGGCTTCTTGTTGTTCATTCGTTCAGTCGTCTCCGACTCTTCGTGACCTCATGGACCAGCCCACGCCAGAGCTCCCTGGCAGCCGTCACCACCCCCAGCTCCTTCAAGGTCAGTCCAGTCACTTCAAGGATGCCATCCATCCATCTTGCCCTTGGTCGGCCCCTCTTCCTTTGCCTTCCACTTTCCCCAGCATAATTGTCTTCTCTAGGCTTTGCTGTCTCCTCATGATGTGGCCAAAGTACTTCAACTTTGTCTCTAGTATCCTTCCCTCCAGTGAGCAGTCGGGCTTTATTTCCTGGAGGATGGACTGGTTGGATCTTCTCACAGTCCAGGGCACTCATAATCTTGGTTTTTTTATGTTTAGCTGCAACCCAGCTTTTGCACTTTCTTCTTTCACCTTGATTAGAAGGCTCCTCAGCTCCTCCTCGCTTTCGGCCATCAGAGTGGTGTCATCTGCATATCTGAGGTTGTTAATGTTTCTTCCAGCAATTTTCACCCCAGCTTTGCATTCATCAAGCCCCGCACATCGCATGATGTGTTCTGCATACAAGTTAAAAAGGTTGGGTGAGAGTATGCAGCCTTGCAGTACGCCTTTCCCAAGGCAGATCATCAAGGCAGATCATCCACAATATCTGCTTTGAACTGGGTTATCTCATCAGCCAAAAGCAAGCCCATTGTATTGTTTTTAAGTGTTTTTTGCATTACAAATAAGATATGTGCAGTGTGCATAGGAATTCATTCATGTTTTTTTCAAATTATAATCTGGCCCTCCAACAGTTTGAGGGACTGTGACCTAGCCCTCTGATTAAAAAGTTTGTGGACCCCTGGGCCAGGGCAAGCCCCTATTTTGCGGCGTGGGCTCTCTTTAAAAAGAAAAAAATTCTTTACGAATGTGAGTCATACTTTTATTTTTTTTAAAAATAAGGGCCCTTCCACATAGCCATATAATCCAGAATGTCAAGGCAGATCATCCACAATATCTGCTTCGAACTGGGTTATCTGAGTCCACACTGCCATATAACCCAGTTCAAAGCAGATAATGTGGGATTTTATATGGCAGTGTGGAAGAGGCCAAAGTTAAACATGACACAATCAAGCAAAATAAAGCACTACCATGTCTTGATTTTAGATTTCCAAATCATGATTTGGAAATCTAAAATTCCAAATCACTTATTGAATTCCATTTCCTGGGAAAACATTAATGTTTTTCCAGGGAACTGATCCCAACAGTGTCTATCTCACAGTCCATATGAAGCTGACACTTGGCACCTTGTGAATTATTTATTTATTTGTTATATTTTTACTCTGCCCTTCTCACCCCCGAGGGGGGGGGGGGGTCAGGGCAGCCTCACAGAAGCATCATAGGATGCCAACATCATAAAAACAATCAGCAATACATTTTTTTGGTCGTGTCAGGAGCGACTTGAGAAACTGCAAGTCGCTTCTGGTGTGAGAGAATTGGCCGTCTGCAAGGACGTTGTCCAGGGGACGCCTGGATGATTTGATGTTTTTATCATCCTTGGGGAGGCTTCTCTCATGTCCCTGAATGAGGAGCTGATAGAGGGAGCTCATCTGCCTCTCCCCAGATTCGAACCTGCGACCTGTCAGTCTTCAGTCCTGCCGGCACAGGGGTTTAACCCACTGCGCCACCGGGGGCTCCTTAGCAATACATTAAAATGTTAAGATCAGTAATTAAACAATTGATTAAAAACACGCCTGTTAAAATCAAAATCCAAAGTCCAGTTGACGACAGTTAGTTTTATCTACTGTTGTTTTAAAATTGTATTATTTTGATTTTATGCTATATGTGTTGACGGGGATTGTTATAATTTTATGTGACTTGTTTTATACTTTTGTACTGTTTTTACCTGTTGTATGTTATATAATAATAATAAACTTTATAACCCACCACCATCTTGCCCAAAGGGGCGGCTAACATGAGGCTGAGTCCAAAAATAATATAGCGTAATTAGACACAGAACTACAGAAAAATTACATCACGACAAAATACATAAAATAACAAAATAAAACAAACAGTGCAGAATATCATAACAAAAATCAAACACAAAGGGTGGGCCAGATGCACGAGATAAAATATTAAGATGTTAAAACCCTGGGTGAAATAGGAATAGAAAAAGTGTAATTATGAGGGAGGGGCCCAAGAAGGAGGAGAAGTGGGGTTTGGCCTTTATTAAGGAAAGGAGAAAGTGCATCATGGACAACTGTAGATGGGGACAAACAGATGGATTGATTGGAGACAAACAGATGGGTTGAATAGTCACTCTCCGAAAGCACATTGGAAGAGCCAAGTTTTTAGATCTTTCTTAAAGGCTGCTAGGATGGGGGGTTGCCTAATCGCACCAGGTAACGAGTTCCAAAGCCAGGGGGCCACAGCGGAGAAGGCTCTCTCAGTGCAACCTGGAGTGCCTTGTAAGCTGCCTCGAGTGCCTTCGAGGAGATGATGGCAGGATATAAATAAAGTTTATTATTTATTATTACAGAACTTTGTCCTTCATTTCGAATACCACATATATTTAAACTTTGCATGTAAAAGAGAACATGTGACCTCCATTAGACAAATATGGGTAACTCTATTATTAATGGAAAATACAAACTGATTTATCATTCCATAGAAGTGCTAGAACAAAGAATGCCATATCTGATGTTTTCCTTAATTATTAGCTGCTGGGATAGGGGCATCAAATGCATATTTTCTTTCTTTAAGGATTCCAGCTACTGAATTCCAAAAGAGAACTTTGCCCTTTTATCAAAGATGACATCAAATTGTCATACTAATGAGATATATGTGCTTGTTTATTTTACATAAAGAATTAAATCCTGGCAGGGTATTTAATACCGCAGGCTATAGAGCATCTTCAGTGTTCTTGAGAGTTGAGAAAGCTGTTCCACATAAAGATGTAGTACAAAATGACATATCAGGGGGGTTCCATTTAAGAAATTTGACGGAAATTCTGACCTAATCCCAAGCCAAAATTCATTTAACATTTTTTGTTCGTTTAGGAAACCAGTTTTAAATATATGTTGCTTGATAGCTTGAACTTTTGAAAATTTTGATTGAGCATGGTTTATTAACCCAAGTTAGTTTTTTTAGAATCAAAATTTGAAGGGAAGAACTTCAGAAACTGAAAAAATGCCATCAAGTAGAATCAGCATTCTACTTGATGGCATTTTTTCTTCCTTTCTTTAATATCTTCCTTTTTTTAATAAAGTATAGGGAAACCATTTGCTATAGAGTCCATTGTTGCATATTGCTAACAGATTCATGTAAATGTCTCAAACAGCCACTAAGTGGCAGGATACTCAAAATATTTTTTTATTATTTTTCATTGCTAATTTTTTGTGACCCCCACATTCAGTTACATGACCCCTTATGGGGCCCTAACCCACAGTTTATGGTACTTTGATCTACAAGACTGTTTTATGGAAAAGTATCCTATGTACATTTAGGCCCCTATTTCAGGGAGTAACTCCACTTGGCCTCTACATATTAAACCACCCTAGCCCGTTAAGTTCCATAAAATAGCAAAAATGCTAACTTGTTGTTGTTGTTGTTGTTTTTCCTGCTGGCAGAGCAGGGATTCTATCATAAAGATCACCATTTACCAAAAGGGGAGGCAGGTTAAAACAGTGTTGACTGAGATGTAGGAGAAACCTGAGTGTTAACTATTGAACATTATTGAAACAGCCTTAACCTCTTGTGACACATTTCATCGACTATCAAACGACATAACTAGAGAGAAGAGAAGCAGGGTCTGATTTATCATAGGAACCAAAAGGGAAAGTTTGCTATTTCCCCTGGGGAAAAATTGAATGCTGGGCTATTCATTTTTGTATGGATTTTAGTCCATTTGTATTAAGTTTTTTTTCATTAGAAGAGTGCCATTAAATGCCATTAAATGTATTGCATTGTATCTAATGCCATATACTCAAGTATATGTCGATTTCATGTATAACTTGAGGGCAGGTTTGGGAGTCAAAATTATGCATATTGATATAACCCGTGGATAAGTCATTACCCAGAGAGGGAAAAGCACTAATCCCTTCGGCCACTGTCATTTTCCTACCGAAGCATTTAAAACTAGGCTAGTTTCCATGTCATGGCAGAACTAGTAGAGGGAAGGGTGTCAGGTTCTCCCAACTTGGACTAAGGTCTCCCCTTTTGCTACTTTACTCAAGACATGATTCTTTTGTTGTTGTTGATAAGAATTATGGTACAATACTTACACTTACCCAAGGTTTAAGGGCCAGTTTTTTGCATTTTTTTTTTAGATTTATACCGTTTGTTTTGTAATCTAATAGTCTCTTGTTTCCTTTAAGCTCCTGCTTTGGCTGTACAGACTCCAACATTGCTGGAACATGTGGAGGAGAAAACTGAAAGTGAGGAGTCTCCGAGTTTTTTAGACAGCATATTCTGGATGGCAGCTCCAAAGTCAAGACGTACCATTGAAGTGAATCGTTGTCGGCGAAGGAATCCTAGAAAGCTTATAAAATTAAAGGTAAGTCATCATGTTTCTTTTGGTTGTCCTATCTTTATTTGGGGGGGGGGGGTGGAGGGAGGTGGACTTTTGTTGTTATGTTTCCAAAATGCTTGTCATGTCTTTAAAATGTTTTGAGATTACTATAAATAGCCATGCACTTTTCTCTAGCTCTCGTTTTGCTGTTTCAAAAGCAAAGAATGACCACTAGCTGTTGCAATGTCAAAGATTCCCCTTCACTGTCTATGTTTCCTAGGACTCCTGAGAGTTGCACCCAATAACACCTGGACTATATTTTGTGCATCCGTTTTCTAAAGTTGCAAGTGCCATTAAGTGCTGTTGCACTGACATTTGCTTTCTTATGAATGAAAAATACCTAAGGGAAATCCTTTTATTGGACCCAAGTTTTAATCTGTGGGAACCTGTAGACTACATACAGAATGATGAATGACTATAACCCAAAACTAAAATTGGTGAAAATTATGAGTTTTTAGAGTCCAACATTAAAGTTAAGATTAAGTGCTGTGTGGTCTAGAACTAGTGTATCAACATGAACTATAATGCACACTGTGGACTACACTGGAACACGGTGTAAATCAGATGCAAGACTATGCTTAGTGTTTTGCTTGTGTCATGAAAGTAAGTGAAGAGTTGTCAACAGTACATGTTGAGTATCCCTTATTTAAAAAGCTATAATCTGAAATACTCCAAAACTACCCACCTGGGTGCTTGAGACAGTGACATCTTTGCTTTCTCATGGTTCAGTGTACACAAACTTTGTTTCATGCACAAAATTATTTAAAATATTGTGTATATAATAACCTTTAGGCTATAGGTACATGATGTATATGAAACATAGATGAATTTCACAATTTGACTTGGGTCTCATCTCTAAGATATATCCATGTGCAAATATTCCATTTTGAAAAATTCAGAATTTTAAACACCTCTCATTCTAAGCTCTTCAGATAAGAGATATTCAACTTGCAACAGAATTCAGAATAGGTATTTTGTGGGAAGTTAAATCGGTTAATATTGAGGCTATTTTTTAAAAAAAAGATGCAACTATTTTGCCAGTACCAGTTGCTAATCCCAACTAGACTACCGAAATAAAATCAGTTGCTTATTGGTAAATCAATGTTTAGGTTACGCATGCTGAATCAACAAGGCTACTTTATTTAGAAGTCCTCATTGAACTTCACTCTTCAAAATTTGCCCAACAGTCGCTGATTCATGAAAACATTATTCCCGTGCTTGTCAATCAGTTTAAAATGAGGTGATGTTGCTCTTTTTTTGAGCATATAAAATGTTGTTTTCCTATCAAGAAGTACACAGACTCATAGTTTGCTGCAAAATTGTAATGTGCTAAACAATGAGATGCTCATTTCCCTACATATCTTCTTAGCATTTGTGTAACCTTTTCTGTCTCAAACCTCTATTATGCATTTTAAGTCTGTTCTCTCTGTTGCCTTTAGATAAACATAGATGTCTGTCCTCAGTGTGGCAACCTGAAACAGAAGCATATTCTTTGCGGCTATTGTTATGAGAAAGTCAAAAAGGAAACCTATGCGATAAGGAAGCAAATGGGGGAATTGGAAGGAGGTCCCCATAGGGCTCCCACTGTAGAGACTGTTGTGCTGTATGAAGGGGAGACGCCCAGGGACAAAGACGAAGGCAAACGGATTATAGAACGAAACAGGAAACGTCCATCTTGGTTCACGCTGGACTGATCGTGGAGGAACCCACTGTTTATAAAATACAACAGCTGTTAATTATCAGAATACACATTCTCGGGCAGTAACTTTATTTCTAATACGCATTTGCAGTTTAATGTTATTGCTCTACTTTACTTTTTTTCAGTAACTCCATTTTGCATTTGGATTAAAATGGGTACTATAGAAGTGTTAAATCCAATGTAATGTTAGTAGGGTTACAGCTCTTGTCAACATTTTGCACAACAAAAACTGTAAGGGATACCTCTGGAAATGAGCAGCTCATAATGTAATGGTTCACGTGTTAGCACTGTGACTTCATTTGATACAGGTCTATCAGTTTTGTTGGCTGTTTTGGGTAGATCTTTTCCCCCTACATCAGTGGTTCTCAACCTGTGGGTCCCCAGGTGTTTTGGCCTACAACTCCCAGAAATCCCAGCCAGTTTACCAGGTTTACCCCAGGTTGAGAGCCACTTCCCTACATGTACCTTATTTTCAAAGTATGTTGCATTTTCTAAGTTGCTTCCCACCCCACACACACACCTTTCTGAATTAAAGCATGATTAACCTGCATTTGAAAACCAAAATAAAGCATATTCAGTTTTATAACGAGTATAATGCGTTCCTCTGTTTGAAATGATAGATTGCTTTGAACAATAAGGTTGTATGAGAATGTATGTTCTGAGTTGACATAACATTGTTATTGAATTCTCCATTGATTGAGAGAGGTTGGTTAATCTTCTATTGATCATGAATGCACACCTATGAAACAGTCACTTAATATATGCTACTGGTTATAATTCTGTGAAATAGTTACTGTAGCTGAAGGGTAGCCAAAACCATTAACTACTGCTGTCATTCTGTGTGCAAAAATAATGAAACTAGGACTTTCATCCCCTTTCTAGTGAGCCCCCAGTGGCACAGTGGGTTAAACCCCTGTGCCGGCAGGACTGAAGACCGACAGGTCACAGGTTCGAATCCGGAGAGAGGCAGATGAGCTCCCTCTAACAACTCCAGCTCCTCATGCGGGGACATGAGAGAAGCCTCCCACAAGAATGATAAAAACATCAAATCATCCGGGCGTCCCCTGGGCAATGTCCTTGCAGACGGCCAATTCTCTCACACCAAAAGCGACTTGCAGTTTCTCAAGTCTCTTCTGACACGACAAAAAAAATCCCCTTTCTCTGACTGAAGTATTTAGAAGAGATTTAACCAAATGTGTTGTGCTGATTCCAGCAGTCGCACAAATCTCATATCATTGATTAGGTGCAGCGTGTTGCTAGGCATACTGTGTGTTGCAGCTTCTAGGAGATTGGCATTATTTAGTTCATTAGCCTCTTGTGAATGTTGATATTATTTTGTAAGCTCTAAAAGTCTAGAAGTAAATCCTGGTTATAATAATTGAAATAAAATTTTATTTGGTATAAAGAAAGATATATAGTTTCCAAGTAAAGTGGGAGAATATAATATTTTGAAGAAAAGTGGGAAAACAAGAAGATAAGAATAAGAAAAAGGAGAAAATAAAGAAATAAAAAGATAAAGATAAAAATAAAATCTTGTGACTTCCTTCTAAACCTTCACAGGTTCAGCTTTATCCTGGTTATAATAATTATATTATCCACAACAGGGTTTTTTTTTTTTTTTTGAATCACCCATCTTCAAATAGTAAAATTAGGTCTGTGTATGCTTTATGCCTGGGAAGGAAATAAGAACCCTGCTCATGCCTCAGAAGGTTTATGTTCCAAATTGTCTGTTTCCTTATTGTGTTACATTTGCAGGTGATTTATATTTTCCAAAATTTGGAGTTAAATAACAAGAACTAGATATAAAAGACAGATGTAAAGGGGCAGTGAAAAGAAAAAAAGAGGCATTTGAGAGAAAGACCAGGCCAGTGTGGGGCTGAGTGGGGAGATTCAGGGAATTCATTACCACCTGATAATCTTCTTTCTTTCAGTTCTTCACTATAATCATGACTAGAAATAAATATTTTAATGTATCTCAAGATGAGACCTATACAGCAGAATCTAATCAGAGAACATAAAATTATAAAACAATGATTCTCAGTAGCTAGTTTGATACTTTGAATGCCAACTAAAGTAGAAGTATATAACCAAATGTTTGAACTAGCATGGGATATGTGCAAAGGCAGGCTTTGGTGGTAATGAAACGGCGTTGATAGTTCAGGGTGTTTTAAAAAGATGGACATACGGTAATTTGAAATTGCTGTACCTCTGCCACCCATGCATGGAACATTTACCACTTTGATTCACCAGCTCAGCCCAGTGTAGAATATTTGGACTGGATCAGCCAACCATTTTCAACTGTCAAATATATTACAAACATTACTTGAAGTGAGAGTTTTCACTTAAATCAATATTTTGAACCATCATGAAATTTAAGATCATCTGGAGAGGTCCTGCTCTCGATCCCACTGCCATCGCAAATGCGATTGGTGGTGATGAGGCACAGGGCCTTCTTTGCATTGGCCCCCGTCTGTGGAACTCCCTCCCCAGGGACATCAGATGGGCCACCTCCCTCCTGTCTTTCAGAAGGAAACTTAAGTCCTGGCTATGGGACCAAGTGTTCGACCAGTAATAACAGCAAGTAAAAGAAGTTTTTAAGATAATGAATTGACCTAGACTGGACCTTGGATTGGATTTTGGATTCCGATTTTAACAGGTGGGCTTTTAATTGTTTAATTACTATTTTTTAAATATTTTAATGCATTGTTGATTGATTTTATGATGTTCAGCATCCTATGATGCTTTTGTGAGACCACCCTGAGTCCCCCCTCAGGGATGAGAAAGGTGAGGTAGAAGTATAGGAAATAAATAAATAAAATTTCACACTGCACAGTTAAAAGCACGTATCACTATAACTGACTTGGCTACATCCTATGGACTCGTGGGATTTCTGGTTTGGTGAAGTGCTTCTCTAGTTAAGCTCTAGAGCTCACTAACAAAGATTTGTATGTATCACTTGAAATGAAAAATTGCAGAATTCTATAGAATGGGAGTAAAGGGCTATTGTGTTATGTTAAAAAATCTTGGGAGAACAACCCCATGTTCCACAAAACAAACAAAATCCACCCATTGATTGGCGCTGGCAAAAAAAATCCTGATCCTTGAATAATTAGTGATAATGAATGCTATAGTGCTATACATCCTTACCTCTGTGTATGTCATGTGGAACCAAGTGGGCTTATTTCTGAGCAACCATGCATATGAATAGCATCCAGCTTAGTCTAAATAACGTGTCTCAAAATTGCTTCATTGTTACTAACTTTAGCTAAGCCGGATCAACCTTTTTACCTGCGGTATGTTTGGAAATAACAAACAGGTTCATAACAATTCTGTCTTGTAAGAATACAGACCGTGTCGGAGACATGAGCATGAGAAGAGCTGTCATCGTGTAAAATAACCACTCAGGCAAGCTGTGAAGATGAGCAGGTCTGTGCTTTTCTATTTGTATGGAGTAAAGTGTCAGAATGGAGTGGTGTTAGCTAACACATTTTAAATTATCTTTATGAATGTCATTTAGCACAATGTTTAGAACTGAGTGCTTGTTTTCTATGTGGATGCAGAGAAAAATGAAAACAGTGGCGCAGCAGATTAAACTGCTGAGCTGCTGAACTTGTTGGCTGAAAGGTTGGTGGTTCGAAATCAGGGAGAGGGGTGAGCTCCTGCTATTAGCCCCAGCTTCTGACAACCTAGCAGTTTGAAAACATGCAAATGTGAGTAGATCAATAGGTACCGCTTCGACGGGAAGGTAGCGGCTGTCCATTCAGTCATGCCGGCCACATGACCTTGGAGGTGTCTACATACAACGCCTAATCTTCGGCTTAGAAATGGAGATGAGCACCACCCCCCAGAGTCAAACACAATGAGACTTAATGTCAAGGGAAAACCTTTAGCTTTACCTATTAATAATGGCCATCCCTTTGAAAATTTCAAGAGCAGATATAGTGCTGAGTGTGAATTTCTTTGCCTGGAAGAAGGAAGAACACACAAGTGCATTTGATTTTTATTATTTTTTTTTAGTAACCTAATAAATGGGCTGTTGTAGGTTTTTTCGGGCTATATGGCCATATTCCAGAAGCATTCTCTCCTGATGTTTTGCCTGCATCTATGGCAAACATCCTCAGAGGTAGTGAGGTCTGTTGGAACTAGGAAAAAGAGTTTATATATCTGTGGAATGACCAGGGTGGGACAAAGGACTCTTGTCTGCTGGAGCTAGGTGTGAATGTTTCAACTGACCACCTTGATTAGCATTTGATGGCCTGGCAGTGCCTGGGCCAATCTTTTGTTGAGAGGTGATTAGATGTCCCTGATTTTTCCCCTCCGCTGTTTTGTTGTTGTAATTTTAGAATTTTTTAGAGCACCTGATGAACCAACCTGGACACAGCATATTATTTGAGAACACAGAAATGCTGGACCACTCTAACAACCACCATGTCAGACTACACAGAGAAGCCATTGAAATCCACAAGCATGTGGACAATTTCAACAGAAAGGAGGAAACCATGAAAATGAACAAAATCTGGCTACCTAAAAAACTCTAAAATTACAACAGCAAAACAACAGAGAGGAAACAATCTGGGACAAATAATCTAATCAACTCTCAACAAAAGATTGCCCCAGGCACTGCCAGGCCATCAAATGCTAATCAAGCTGGTCAGTTGAAACATTCACACCTAGCTCCAGCAGACAAGAGTCCTTTGTCCCACCCTGGTCATTCCACAGATATATAAACCCTTTTTCCTAGTTCCAACAGACCTCACTACCTCTGAGGATGCTTGCCATAGATGCAGGTGAAACGTCAGGAGAGAATGCCTCTAGAACATGGCCATATAGCCCGAAAAAACCTACAACAGCCCAATGATTCTGGCCAAACCTAATAAATTCCCAAAACACAAAAATAAGCTTTTGTTTTGAATCCCAAAGTTGCCCTCCAATATTTTGAATTCTGGTTTGTATGGAAAGACATTGCAAATCAAGAGGTTTTCACCCTGCTGTAAGAATACTTCTTAAAGGCAAAATATCTTACTTCAATATGACGTGTGCTCTATGGGAAGCTCAATTAAATCCTATTCTCAGAGCTGTGCTGTTGTATTTCATGGTGTGAGGAAGTGAGGAAGATATGAATAATTAGGGTACTTTATGTCTGTGGGAGTGACAGGGTGGGTGGAAGAAATAGTAGAAAGGTAAGCCACAGGAAGAATCCTATTAAAAACAATTTATTTATTATTTTATTTTATTTTTTCCTCAGCTTTATATGTGATAGAACTCAGGCATAAATAGCATTCTGAAGCAATTGTATATCCAGAAAGCATCTGCTTTCACTGCCCCCACGTCAGATAAACTTCCAGGTATGATTGCCAAATTAAACCGTCATATTTTGTGGAGGTTTAATTTGGTTCAGGTCCAGGCTTTTTTGAAAAACAGCATCTCCGTATACAAACCTCAAGCTCTGAGGCCTGCAGAGGAGGCATGCCTCTTGCTCCTTCCCCTGTCGCAAGCAAGGTTGGTGGGGATGAGAGAAGGGGCCTTCTCCGTGATGGCCCCCACCTCTGGAACTCCCTCCCTAAAGAACTAAAAATGGCCCCCTCTCTC